GGTCTCTCAAATCCTACAAAAACTTCTCTGTCAAAAGGCCCTGAGATAAGAGAAATATAAATAAATGTAAGTAAAATGGTATCTTCCTATTTCACACTGGTTTTAAAAGTTTATTTCATCATTAAAATGACAGAAGAACGAAAGATTCTCTCTTCATGATGTATATTATACACACTTTCAATTTGGTCACATTATGAGACGAAGTAAAAGAAATTCATACTAAATTCAACTTTGTAAAGACGAGGGTGACAAACTCCTCATTGGTCCTAGCGTTACATTGGAGAGAACACTGTGGGAAAGTTACCTCCTGAGAGCAGCACGCAATTGTGCATGGTATTCTGTCACATTTTTGCCTATAAGAGAGGAACAAGTGTTTGTACTAATCGAAAACACCTTGGCAATCCACCTTCTCGGTAGAGCTCCCATAAGTGCCTAAATTGTCTGTTTTAGTAAGGTTTTACAGCCCTCGCAACTGCATAAGGTCATATGAGCGCCAAAGGGTGGATGTCAACAGAGAAGTCCAAACGGGGAATCAGACTTACTCTGCTCACCTCTCTAACATCAACAGCACAAAATCTGCTTTGACTATCATGAAAGGCACCCCGGAAATAACAGGTCACAAGAGTGTGACAAACATACAAAAGAAGTAGAGGAAAAATGACGATTGTAAGAGCGAGGAAAGAAAAAGCAGGATTGGGAGGATAAGTGTACAACTAGTGTGTAGATTTCAGCGACTGCTAGTGACCAACAACCCTCTCTCCCTACACTCCCACCAGCACAAAGAAAGGTTTGCAAAGCAGCACATAGTGGGAGGTTGGCAGGTGCTCTCATGTGGTTGGCTCCTTGATCTTTCCTATTATAATAAAGCATTTGTATAGCGCAAATTCCCGCTCAACAGCAAGCTCTATGCGCTTCACAATCTATATTATTATCACAGCAGACCCGAAAGCATTCTGAAACAACCTTAACTTCCTGGGAAGCATACAATGCAAGCAGCCATTTATAGGCGTTTAAACACTTACATACTGACAAGATCTTTCGCTGTCTATAGCCGCGTACCCATTCCCACCTGGGTGAAGTGAGGAAAATTCGTGTAAAGTGCCTTTCCCAAGGACACAACATTGGGCCCGCGGCTCGAACCCCCGAACCTGCAACCTCACGGTTACGAGTCCGGTATCCTAACCACTAGACCACCAATGCCGCTACCTCATGAATTAAGAGTCCAGTAGCCTAACCACTAGGCCACCGACAACATCATGATTACGAGTCCAGTAGCCTAACCACTAGGCCACTGACAACATCATGATTACCAGTCCAGTAGCCTAACCACTAGGCCACTGACAACATCATGATTACCAGTCCAGTAGCCTAACCACTAGGCCACTGATACCACCAATCAAACATCTGCCATCCTTAACTCTCCTTTTTAGTGATTCCTCTCTTGTAACAGCTCTAACCTTTTGTACTTACCAGCATCATGGCTTAACTTCGCTGAAAGTCACTGCAAGTGTCAGGAAATACTGAGATCTAGTAGAACGAAAAGACGCTCAGATATATTATCAGTTAATTGCACTGTGCTCAAACTGGCGTTCTTAGGGTGGATTTTTATTTATAGATGGTTTACCAAAACATCCATATTTTAGGGAATAAAGATTTTGTGGCATTGTAAAAGTCGTTTGATCATATTTGTTGGATGAAGGTAATGAGGGTTAAGATTATTATTAGTCTAGTGTTGAGCTCTGCCCGCAAAGTAAAAAATAATAGCAAATAAACGAGAACATGTTTCTCTTGTCCACAAATAACAAGCAAATAAACCAATCACTTGCTGTATTGGACTGTGGGCGGGCAGAAAGTGACCGGTACACTGTAAAGATTCATTATTCATTGCCCGAGACGAAGCTCGTTTGTGATACCATGAACGAGCATATAAGTTTGCTAAGCTAGCAACGCTAATCTTGGCTGGCTCGTTCATCATAATGTCACGATTCACAAAGCCCAGTTCCACCAGCACCTTGAGTGTCGATCTCCAAGAAACAATGCACATTTCCAGTGCGATGTTGATTTTATCATACCTTGGTGCGCGATTTCCACAACCAGTAGGCTCCTTTCTCAATTCGGTAATGAATCAGTAGGCCTAGATCTAGACCTGTCGAGCGCTTGCTCCAACACTACGATAGCCAAAGCATCGCAAGGTCTAGGTCTAGCCTATAGATCACGCAGCCACTCCTAGTCAACGAATTGTGGTCCCACCAACGCCCAATGTGGCGAACTCACCGTGAACAGCAGTATATCTCGGGACTGTAGCAGACCGTTAATTAGTGATTCCTTTAACCCGCACTCTCCGCAAAGCGGTCCACTTGTTTTTCAAGCACACCCTCTGCCCTCTCAGGTAACGAATCAGTAACAAGCGCTCGCTATACCACTAGTTAGGCCTGCTATAGTTAGGGTTAACTAGTGCTAAGGCTAACCTAAACCCTAACCCTTATATTATTACCCGAACCCAACCAAAATGTGAATAAAATATTCCACACTTAAATATTGCCACCATCTCTCCTATTATATTTGTGAAAGTTCGTCACTTTGGCCCCCTAAAACTTCTAAACCACTTAACTTTCGAATTTGACCAAATTAAAGTGGTTCAGAATCATTTAAAGGGTGCACACTTTTATTGAAGAGCCTGAAGTCACTGCATGTAGGTCTAGTTTAATTTTCAGTTTTTCATTAGTTTTGTTTAGATCTAATTTTAGGAAAGTCCGTCTTCTAAGACGCCATTATAAACAAGAGGTTTCCGTTCACTAGCTGTGCGCACTGTTCCACAATTATGACTTGACGATCAATTCTTTTGATTCCTTTCATCGAAAGGGGGCCCAGCTAGTATAATATAAAACAGCTTACTTTCAAATTGTGGCTAACCACTCTGGTGCCACCATTGCTTGACTGGGCAGCAAAGCCACACTGTACACACATGATCTATGTACAGGCTACACAAGGCATCAATTTTTCCACGCAGTCTGAGACCCCTCTCAAAGCGTGCAACAGAAGAACAGAAAGTCTGCACAGCTAGGATAATTGCATGTTCTAAACATCGCACATCTGTTTGAAACAAACTAAAGAAGTTGTTTGACAGTTAAATTCTGAAATGTTATAATATTTCCCTTATGTATGTTTTATTAGCCTTGTCCTACAAGAAATGTAACTAGACATCTAGATCTAGATTTACTTTATTACCTTGGGATTGTTCGGTTTTGGGTCAAATGGATACACTTAGATATCTATACCTAATCCGGCACCACTTGATATATGGTGGTCCCGACTTTTGTGAAGGCCTACTGAAATATCGATACTGATTTGAATAGTTGGTATCAAAGTTTTATGTTTTATCAGTAGCCTAGATCTAAATCTACCCTACAAAATGAGCAGTAAAATTTCACTTGTTTTTCACAAAGCAAGGGGGGTTGCCCCCCTGACTTAAAAAAACAAAACATGAGGTTTCAGGGGGGCATGGCCCCCTGAATTTGACCACGATTCGATGTTTTGCAATTAGGTTAGAAAGGCTATCTCTCCATATCAGCATACGAATCAAAAAGTAATCGTTTAGACTTAGAACCAGAAGCAATCGTCATTAGGGTCAAAACTAGATTCTAGACTTTCTGTGGGTTAGCCTATATTTCCCTGTCACAAAAGTCGGGACCACCGCATATCCAAGTAGTGCCCCTAATCCCTGTTAGACTATTAGATTGCTTTTATCAATATACAGAAGGGAAACAATAAATCCTGGATTGTTGGTCCCTATATTAACATGTTGAATTATGTCCCTGTAATTGTACTTTTATTTATCTACCCTCACAACAAAGATTGTCTGATCTTAGTGATCTTTACTCACTCCTCCTTCCTGTTTCAATCACATGTACTCATGCTCATTATGATTTATTTAGTCTTGTCAGTGAAGCCAGAGAGGGCAGACCTCATATTATTTTCATCATTAAATTATCCTTCTTCATTTAGAAACGGAGTTCTTACTTTTGCTTTATTATATACAATAATGGCAAACAACCCCAGTGCAACCCTCTAATCCAAAAATTTAGGCAAAATTGATTCTAGATCTAGACTAGATCTAGGAATCAAGGCCTACTATCAATAGTCCCGAGTTCCGGGGGCCAAAACCGGAGATTGCCACTTACTACACACTTCCAAATCGCACACACTGATCACTGATGATCACAGTTGGTTTGAGTAGGCCTCTTACGTAACTAGATCTTGGCCCTATCTAGGGATGGTGTTATTTTGAATTTTTTGTCCAAATGACACACGTAACACTCACTCACACTGTAAAATCAAGTTTAAAACTTTTTATTAAATGTTGGCCTAGATCTAGATCTAGATCTAGATCTAGATCTATCTACTGGTACAGGTGGCCACCCCGCATTTGTTATTCGCTGGTATTGGCCCCAAGAGTAGGGGGGTTTCAGGGGGGCTTGCCCCCCTGACCTAATAAAAACGTGGGGGGTTTCAGGGGGGCATGCCCCCCTGAATTTTACCACAATTTAATGTTTTGCAGTTGTTAGGTTTGATATCTTAGCTTGCCGCGAATCAAACGTACATAGATCTAGATGTAGGTCAGGCTCAATCAAATAAGGGGGGTGGGAACTACCGAAAAAGCGCCTACAGGTGATCACTGTCATTCATTTTCAAGTAGAAATCTAGACTTATCATGTCTAACTTCTAGATCTAGATCTAGATATAGATCTAGAATTCAAAAATCTAAATCTAGATCTAGAATCTAGATCTAGAATTATATCTAGTTCTAGCCTTCATACCGTAGCCTGTGCCTGTAGCCGTCGTAGAAATAGAATAGTTGCAGTTGCTGGCACTGAAATTGAAAGCGCTCTGTATTCTCTGTTGGCAGTTGGTTGTATAGACCTAGGCTATGGTCGGTCTTTCAAAATCTGTGACACAGTGACTGGCAATAATCACAAAGAATTATTCAGAAAGGTAATAACTTCGGGAATTCATTTCTTACCCTTCCGTATGCAGACCGGAATAGTAATAGTGCCTGACACCAGCATTCGGCGTAGCCGATCAGCAGTCACCGCAGTCACTTTGTTACTTTGTTGGGGAAACCAGAAAATATTCTGTGTACTGTGTCACCACTTCCTGGAATGGGAAACCCACAGGATGTTGCCAGGATGTGAACCATAGAAATGAAATCCTAGATTGTGTATTCATACGTATTTCCGGTTTTTAGGGCCCTTGCTTTACACAACAAACTTCTTTGCTTTGGAATTTATTTATTTTTTTAAAGAAAAGAAAGATATATAGGGTCCTAGATCTAGGCCTAATGAAAGGCAAGGGGTAAGCAGACGTTCAAGTTTAAAAAAAAAAAAAAAGAGAATAAGAAACAATTGGCTCAGTTCTGGGTATTTAATATCGATACAAGGAACCGAAACCTACAATTTTATCGTCTAAAGGACTAGTTCAAAATCATGAACACCCGGCTCCGTCATGTTCTAAGGATTATTGAGTGCTACTGGCGCCTCTTTTTATAATTTTGAGATTCAAACAATGCGAAGTTTCTTCAAAAAAGTAATGCAAAGGTGGTCGCCACCGCACCAGAAGTATATAGGATATGTCTACTTTTAGATCCCTTTCTTCCTTTCTTTCTCTCTTTCTTTCTTTCTTTCTTTCTTTCTTTCTTTCTTTCTTTCTTTCTTTCTTTCTTTCTTTACTTGGCCATTTTTAATGGATCAACATTTTTAGTGAACAAGTTGCCCGATTATTCCGATTCGAATCATCATGTTTGGCCGAACTTCTGCCAGTTGATCTGACAAGTGCTTTATAATTACATGTACATATACTGGCTGGTGACATAAGCCACGGTTAAGGTACCTCGCAACCATAAATTGTATCAGACTCGTTGTTAGCAAGAACTGTCCGTTTTATCGAACTGTGTAGCGTATTTACACGTTCCAGTCCATCCTCCAATTTTGTTTCCATTACGATTGTTGAGATTTCATCTCCTAGCGTCAGAAAGCTGCCATGTCTCTTTGCAACATTTGTTCACATTCTGTGTGCCGTTACTTAATTAACAAAAGAAAGAAAAACAGGCTTCTTACGGACTTTGAAAAGACTGGCTTCCTGGAGTGAAATATATATATATATATATATATATATATATATATATAGACCTACTCAGTTGATCCCGACTGATAACTTTTGTTGTTTTTTTCTTGAATGTTGTTTGGGATTTTTTGGGCCTAGCTTTTTATCACAAAAGTCTTTGATTGCATTTTGAATAAACTGTTTGCCAAATGAAACCTTATTATTTGCATACCCTAGACTCTCTCTTCATTTGTTACTGTAGTCTTTGGATTTCCACAGACATTAATTTATGGAGCATGCACATCTCAATAAAGAAATGAACGGCGTCTTTTGACCAAGTCGCCATTCTGCTCGAGCAGTGACTAAAAAGGCAGCAGCTTTGGCGTCATTTGCGCGCAACACGAACAGAGGATGACCTGAGTAATAACTCGATCACTAGCAACTGAAAAACAAAATGTTTGCTAACGTTTAAACATCGCATCCAGTGAGGTTCCCCGAGAGTCTCAAGGCTTAGTTAGACATGCTGATTCCAAAAATGAACTCTGTTTTTATTATGCTGTGTGGTATTGTTCTTACATTTTTGCACGCAACGTTAAGGTATACATTCTCTAACGTTAGAGAACCTATACAAGTTGTCTACGTTCTCTAATGTTAGTAGAGAACCTAAAAATAGCTCGCTCGCTCTATCTAACATGGAAACGAGTCGACATTGCTGCTTCCACAGTGCTTACACTTTATTTTCGCAAGCTATTAAGTTTACTTTCACGGAATTAAAATGCTCGCGAAAGTAAAGCTGTCTACAGTACCGCATCTTGCCTTTACAGCGACGTTAAACCCCTAACAAGCAACCAACACCTTCTATCATTCCATCGAGATGACACCCACCCCCCCCCCCTTTTCACAATAATATGTTGTAGGCCTACACTTTTCACCCAAGGAGGGTGCACTCTGATGAACCCCCCCCCCCCTAAAACTTAGAATAAGTTACTGAAGATCAGGCCGTCTGTAATTAGTATTTAGAAGATAGCTTGCAGTTTACATGCGATTTCGTATTCTCACCTCAACGCCAAGGTAGGCCTATGTGATACAACGTGAGAGACCATAAATGATACCAAATTGACATGTGTGGAAAAACATTGCCGATTTGCTGTGTGACGTCTTTGTCCAATTCCAAAGTGAAGAACGTAGAAGTATTTGTGGACGTAGCCATGTTTATCTCAGCCTGGTCCAGGCCAGAAAACGTCGTCCTGGGACTAGTGTATCCAATTTTATAAAAAGATTTTATTCCGGCGTTGGCGAAAGGTACTAAAACATAGTTTTGCCCCAAAGCGCACACAGGGGGCAACTGCTCGACCACCATGTCTCTAAGTTTACACAAGTCCTGCTGTATCCACACACAGCCGAAATCTGCTCCTGTGATGACCGCTACCCTCCTCTGTGCCCTGACCCATGTACCAGTGAGGTCAATCCTATCTCCCAGGATTTGCAGAACGTCTAATGGGCCTAACGATTCTCGCAACGATTGCCCGGAACCAAAATACTGGTGTTCCCGTTGTTATTATAAGTGATATCACTTTGTGCTGGGTGCAGGTTCAGTTCAATAGTGACGTCATTTGCCCCCTCGGCGTTGACGACAAGGAGAAAACAAATGGAAGAAGGACATTCTGTGACCACTACATACTCACACGATAACAAACTGATGGGCAGTATAGCAAAAACTCCTGCACTGTTTTGTGGATATTTGTCGCTGGGACTTTTCAAGCTTTGTGCTCGAACAACAAGCTGGGATGTGGAAGTTATAATGATGCCTTGCTTCTTCCCAAAGCCTGAAATATCGAAATGAACCATATACTCCAGGTTAAGCAGCCATTGTTGGTTGGAGCCTGGCGTAAAACTGTGTGAATACTCCCCAGTGTCTATTTCACCGGATGACGTCCTACGTAGGGGCGCTGTCACGGTGACCTCGATGTTCTCCACAAAGTCCGGAGAGACGGGCGACATGGCCAAAGAAGGCACAGCGTGCTCGGTGTGTTTGGGAAACGCCAGAACGTAGCGGACTTGCTCATCGCCAAAGATGCCCGGACTATTTCTGATGATCACGACTAAGCACAAACACCGCTGGAGCAAATCTCGAAATGTTGACGCCATGATGTGCCGAGAAAGCCGAAGAGAACGTCAAACTGTCTCTGTGGTTAACGACTTGGAACACTTGATCAGATATATCGATTCCCAAGGGGTTCTGTTCTACTTGGAAGTCCGTGCCTTCAACAATAATCTGTTTTGTTTATCAAGGAAATCATAGCACATTTAACACAATGCAGCGATATGTTGAAGATCAAAAACGAACGTAAAACTCTACTTCACAGTGGCACAGTCGAACAAAGCGGGGGATTTTCCACTGAGATCTGAAGTCTGTCTTGTTGTATGGAAGTGAGACATGGAACGCGTCTCAGACTTGCATAGAGAGGATCCAGATTTTCCTGAACAAGTATCTAAATGATGATCACGACTAAGCACAGACACCGATGGAGCAAATCTCGAAACGGTGAAGCCATGACACGCATAGAAAGCCTAAGAGAGCGTCAAAATGTTTCTGTAACTAAAAACCTGGCCGGAGCACTCGACCTGATTGACCAATACCCAACGAGTTTTGAACAACTTTGATTTCAAAGCTTTGAAAAATTATCTGATTTGTTAGTCTAAGAAACGTAGATCTAATTGTCTTTAAACTAATCAAAGTAGCGATCAGGATTATGCTTAAAAATGTCGAAAATTCCAAGAGGTGTTTCTATTGTGTATTTCCGAATATTCGCCATTCATCCTAGTCGCCACAAAGGCATTCCTGGAAAGTGGAGACAATACAATTGCTGCTGACATCCTTTCAGCTTCAGGAAATATTTCTTATCACAGAAGTTCTCGGCACCCACCAAAGAACAATAAACCATCACATGGCAACAGAATTTGTCACTATAATATTCTCTCTCCTAGTGAAATCAACGAGCACCAAGAATATACAGAACTGATTTAGACTGAATAATGCTATGTGTTCTACTTTCAGTTTCTGGAATAGGTTGTAATGCTAGCCTTCGCCTCAAGGAAATGCGTCGAGGATCGTGGAAAAAAGAACACAGGTGAACATTTCACCACAAGTAGGGTCCGTGCACTCGATGCAGAGGCAGAGGTAGCCTTGGTCTTGGCTGACACACTGGGCTGAAAGATTGGCGTCCGTAGACACAGAATAACTTGGTAACTGTGAGACTAGGGGCATCCAAAGCTAAGAGAGAGAGAGAGAGAGAGGGGGGGGGGAGAGAGAGAGAGGGAGACTTAGAGAGAGAGAGAGGGGGGAGGGGAGAGGGGGAGGGCGAGAGATAGAGAGAGGGGGGAGGAAGGGGGGAGAGAGGGGAGGGAAGGAGAGGGGGGAGAGGGGGGAGAGAGGGGAGGGAGAGAGAGAGAACAAGAGAGAAAGAGAGAGTGTGTGTGAGAGAGAAAGAGAGAGAGGAAGGCAAGGGGGGGGGGACAGTTTCATAACTTTTCTACTTAGCTCTGGACCACTGTACAGCTCCATCATAAGAAGGTTAGTTTACTGCAGAAACGCCAACTCATAAAACAGTCTCTTCATATACTAGTTTTACATGAAACTTTAATGTTAGGGTGTCTGCCTATCTGTGGAAGCGTAACAACTCGCCACTTATCGCCCCCCATTATTACCCATTTCCGTAAAATTGTCATCCGCTATGACAGATAACATCTATCGGAGGATACGCAGGTAAGTTTTGTACACTCCCTCATTGGCTCGCACTATTTAAACCATTGAGGCGGCCACCTGCTTTGTTACATCTGTATATTTTTATTCTTTGTAACATTTTATCACTTTGGTCGCCTGCAACTTCCGAACAACTGA